CATCAAGCTTAGACAAAGAAACTAAATTTCTAGTGATACTAGGTACATAAAAAGTATCCATAAGGTCTAAGTGATATCCAGTGTCAAGGATTAAACGATAAGTCCCAACAGCTTCCACTGGAACCTTGACTTTATTCCCCATGAAGACGAACTTCTCATTTGGGTTTATGGTTCGGGTTGAAAGGAATCCCTACATCACATTAGAAACATGAGTTGTACATCCAGAATCAATCCACCAAGTATTATGGGGAACCTCAGTTAAATTTGATTCAAAACATACGTAAGCACTATGCTCACCTTTCTTTTTGAACCAAGTTTTACGCTTTAAACAGTCCTTCTGAAAATGTCCAGACTTCCTGCAGAAATGACATTTGTCATTTTTCTTGTGAATGTTAGTAGATGACTCGTTAATTTTTAATGGTCCTTTACCCTTTCCATGTTTCTTAACAACTTTCTTTTTAGCTCCTTGATTTTTCACGTAATGAATAGAGTGGCTTCCTAGGTTCTTGAGTCTGGTCTCCTCTTGAACTAACATACTGTGCAATTCATGCACATTCCATTTGTCTTTCATGGTGTTATAATTCATCTGAAACGGACCATACTCAGGTGGTAACGAGTTCAAAATGAACTGCACAAGAAAATTTTCTTCCACTGCCATTCCAAGAGACTTGAGTCTTGCTGCGATATTTGTCATTTCGATTACGTGTTCATGCATACTACGAGAACCATCAAACTTCATGGTGGTCAACGTACTCATCAATGTCCCAGCGAGGGATTTGTTAGCAGTTTGAGAGCGCTCTTCCACAAATTTCATAAACTCTTTCGCATCCTCAGTTTTGGGAAGAACAGACTTAATATTGCTTGCTACACTCATTCGCATAAACATAAGGCTAAGTCTGTTTGATCTTTCCCAAGCTCTATAATGAGTTTTCTCTTCATTACTACTGGCATCAGTGATAGCAGCCGGTTTTTCAACTTGGAAAGCCAAATCAAAATCCAACTCACCTAAGTGAAATTGGACTTTCTCACTCCAGTCAGGGAATTAAATCTATTAAAGACTGGAACAGACGAAGTAAGCAAATGTAGAAATATATAAACAAATATTTCAATTAACACATGCCTAGCATTAACGCTTTGAGTCATAAAAACTAAACATAAATACAGATTCAAACATAAATAACCATTCTATGCATACTAATGTTCTCCTTTGGGAGATCCACTAATACACAAACATAATTATGCTAATCTTTTTATAACATTAATGATAATTAAAATATGCATCAACTAGAATCACTTAATATCTTTGGGTAAATAAATAAAACTAGTGACGCACACAAAATTATCTACTTTCATGTTCATTAATTATAATAACAACTAATTAACCTTTGGGTGATCCTGAAATGCCTTATAATAATGAACTTCAATTAACCCATAAATCATTATTCATAATTTTAGCATTCATACTATAGGTAATTGAAATAAAATCACTAATAATTTGAAATCAAAATAACCTTAAAATTTTGGCCACTTTGGTGACTAACAAAATTTATCATGCTTAATTTCAAATAAATAACATCTTTAATTGCTATTAACCATTCATAGAATTTTTTTATTATTAATTTTAATAAATATGTACATTATTCACATAATAAAATATTATGTACCATAAATAAAATTGAAACTCATAATTTCAATTTTCATCCTAAGATTGATTTTCAATCCAAGATCTTTATTTGCATTTCACGTAAAAGTGAAATTGTCATCCATTCAAAACTTTTATGAGTAATTTAAACACAGCGGAAACAATACAATTCAGTTTGCAAAACAAGATTCATTCATTTATCAATGTTTACATTATAGGTACATTAACAAAGTTTTACAGTAAAGCTTCACAGTACATTAACAAAGCTTCACAGTACATTAACAACTTTAACAAAGCTTCACAGTACATTAACAACTTTAACAAATCTTCACAGTACATTAACAAAACATTATATTAACAACCTTAACAAAGCTTCATAGTACATTAACAACCTTAACAAAGCTTTACGGTACCTTAACAAATTTACAGTACCCATAACAAAGCTTTACAGTATCCATAACAAAGTTTTATAGTACCCATAACAAAGCTTTATAGTACCCATAACAAAGCTTTACAGTACCCATAACAAAGTTTTATAGTACCCATAACAAAGCTTTACAGTACCCATAACAATATAGTACCCATAACAAAACTTTACCGTACCCGTTTTACAGTATGAGTATATTATACAACTCACTTTAACATAAAAATAACTCTTTAATTATCCTTCCCCACATAAAAAAAAAATATGTACGTACGAAATAATGTACAAATAATGTGGGGACAAAATAATATATGGACAAAATAATATAGGGGAAAATGGCTTTCAGCAGTCACCAGTCACCAATATGTACACACAAAATAATATTATAAATAATATAATATAATATATGAAACCTGTGTGTTTAACACGTGCTCTCTACACGCAAAGTTTATCAACTTTACGGTTTATCATTCTTCCATCATAATTATAACATACAATAAAACTAATTTCATACATTATTCATCCTAACCCTATCACGTCATTTGCCTTCTCAATTAGAAAGGATTACAGGGTCATTCACGCATAGGGACTATAAAATTGGTTTCAACTTGAACTTGAAAACATAATTAGGGTTTATTCCTTTATTTAATTTTGAGAAAAATAAATTTGGGAATAAATTAGGGTTCATACTAATCTGATAAAGAAATCCCTAAATTCATAATTAGAGTTTATCTTAATTTGGGAAAAACTTAATATTTGGAAAAACTTTCATACAAGGAAAATCATAAATCTAATAATCAGTGCTCTGATACCACATGTAAGACATTATGTAATTTTCCTACGTTCTTAATTCATTATAGAAAACTACTCTACAAGGTCTTTAAATTATTTATTTTCACAATTTTACATACATCAATACATGAATCATAGTAAGAAGACTAACATTGATCCATGAGAATCTTTTTTTGATCTTTTCGTTCTCTTATCTCCTTTTCCCAATCTATCTCTTTGTCTTTTTTTCTCTTCTCACACTTCGCTTTCTTGATGGTTTACCGTGAAAAAAAAAATCTTATGGCCAGAGACAAAACCCTAATCCCTTTTATTAACCAACGTCCATCAAGTTGGTTACCGTAAGTTAATATTTTATTTTATCTTTATTTTATTCTGACTTCACATAATAACCAATAGGTCCTCATATTTTATTAAATCACATTTGGGCCCATAATTTATATCTCACATGAGTTACATAATGGAATGAATTAATTAAATTAATTCTAACATTAAATTCAATTTTTTTCTACTTTAACAAATCGTGTTTGGAATAAAAAAAATATTTTTATCTTTAATTATTTTTTTCTTTCATTTACTCTTTACTTTTTTAGTATTTGAGCGTTCTTCTTCTTCAAAAATTTTTTAAATATATTTTTTAATTTCTTCAATCAATTAAATAAATTATATAAGAATTGATTTTTTTTATATGTTATTAATATTGTGTGATATAGTATACTTTTTTTATTGTTTTTTTATTATGGATTTTTCTATTTTATTCATTGATCTCAAAGTTTGTGGTAATTAAATATATTTTTTTATTATTTTTTATAACAAACACAAGTCTTACTTAAAAAAAACTATTGTAAAGATAGAAAAAAAAACTTGATAAATAATAATACAAATCTTATTTTGTATTTTCAAGATTTTTTTTAATAAAAGATAATGAAAAATATAATCAAATACATGAAAATGTAATTAGAATCGAAGTGATAGTAAAATTTCACCTTCATAAAAATGGAAATATTGAGTATAAGAGAGAAAAAATTAATTTAATAAATTAAAAATAATATCATATTTTTTTATATAATTTACTAATTTCATTCATAAATATTTATCCGCCGTTCACAAATATTTGAATCCTAATATCAAATAATTAACTTCTAACAGATATTTAAATCCTAATATCAAATAATTAACTTATACAAGTAAATACTTGAATATAATTTTATAATATATAATCATAATATTGTTAAAGAGTATTTCATATATAATATAAATTTTTTTCCATAAATATTTTAGTATAAAAATAATAAATTAAAAAATATATTTAATTAATAAAAATAATTTAAATTTTCTTATTTTATATGAATATTTTTATCTCTTAACTTATTGACTTAATTTTAAAAAATAAAATTATGATTGAACTGATTCAAATTCCAAAAGACAATATTATGATAATTCACCTATATAATATTATTTTAATATATTTAAGATGGAAATGTTAATAATGTCTACGAAGCAAAAAAAGATGGTTTTGTCACTTTTATTTCTTAATAACACTTAGCTAGAAAGCTTGTTTTAGTATGCTCAAAAGTTCTCTATTACATAAGAATTGAAAATCAAGAATATCATATTTACCCATTTCTCTTGATTTACAAAAATATAAAATCCTAATGAAATTTAACTCAAACTCTAAAGTGGGTAATATTATATATATGATAATCAATCTTAAAAAAATTATCTTAATTTGAGATTTGCATACTTATTTTTTAATCTTTTTATTATGTAGGTTAATTTTTTTATTTTTAAATATAAAAATTAAATTATATAGATATTGGAATCGAAATTAAATAAATGGAAATATTTTTCTTAAAACTATTTTACACTTATCTCTCTCTTGTTTAAAATTAAAACCAGAGTACATACTTTAAAACAAAATTTTATAATTTATTTAATTTGATTGTTACTAAAAACTTTGATACACTTCTTAAATGTTTAAATTATATAACTATTGAAACACATTTTTCTTTTATTTCTCGCGTTTTTTTCTTCATTCGACGAAGGGTAATCAAATTTATATATATCATGACTAGAAGTGCTGATACATAAATTTGTTGAGTGAGATATGTTAATAAACAAGTCAAATAATTAACAATTTGTAACTCCATAGGTTGTGATGTGAGTGAGAGAAGCTATGGTGTTATACACAAAAAATTGATCACGTGCATGAGAAAGTGTAGCAACGCCAGAATTAGAAGAGATTTGGAAAGTATCAAAGCCAGAGTGAGACGCCAAAACCAATAGAGTGCATTTGATATTTTGTTGACCAAGGAGGCAACAAGGAAGAGAAAATGGTAGAATTAACATCATCATTATGTGTGTAAAATGAAACCATGGCTTCTCAACACACCAACCCAAGCAAATGCTGGATCAAGGAATAAATAAGGATATTCTCATGTTACTTACTATTACGAGGGTGCTATTATAATATTTATGTGTTGATTTTTCTAAAAATATGTTTTTTAACTTACCCAAACTTATTTTAATTCTTAAAGAATTTGTTTTATTTTTTTAAAATAAAAATATTTAAAAAGGTGTTGAAAAGTGTTCTTTTGTTTATAAAATAATTGTTTGAAAGTGGAAGTTTTGTTAGGGATAAAAATGGTAGCAGTAGAAAGCTGTCTCTCTTCTTCTTCTTCTACTGTGGTGTGTGTGGTGGTGCAACAAACACAAACTCTATCTCCTGGGAGACAAACTGCAAGTCTAATCTCTGACTCTACCTTTGCCTTTCCCTTTCGCCTTTAATTGCCTTGCAGGGGGTAATTTCTTGACTTTCCATACACTTTGGCTTTCTAATCCTTTTACCTTGAAACTTACTTATATGGCTCTCTATTCCCCCACATAATATCACCATTTTCTCTCTCTTTCTCTCTCTTTCTTTCACACACACTCTCATATATGCACACTCTATATTCTTATATCACCAAAGAACCAAACCATATATCACCAAAATTGCCTTAATTTCTCCCACATCAGAGATCATTCACTATGACGGATCCTAAGTCCAATTTGTTCCATGAATGGTTCAACTACATGCTCCTCCACCCTCACTACTCTTCTTCATCCTCTTCTCAATCCTACCCTCTTGTCAATTACTCAAACAACAGGTTTGGAATTCAATTACAAGGAGCCTCATCTTCATCTTCATATGCAGCTCCTCCTCCTCCTCCTCCTTCCTCCCCTCCTCTCAGAGAGGCCCTTCCTCTCATCAACAAGATAAGCCTAACAAGTGACCAGCTCCAACAAAATGAATCCTCACCGAATGTTTTACTAGAGAAAGAAGGGAACAAGAAGGTGGAAAGCAACAAGCATGAGAGTGGAGAAGATGGTGTTGAAGAAAGTGTGACTGTTGCCCTACACATAGGGCTTCCCAGAATGGATACTTCTTCTGATCTGGGGTCATCAAGGGTAGTCTCAACTTGTATGGAAATGGGTGAAAAAGAGGAAGTGAACATAATTTCTGAACACCCTTTGGATAGATTGAACAAGGGCCAGTATTGGATTCCCACCCCTTCTCAGATTCTCATTGGTCCTACACAGTTCCCATGTCCTGTGTGCTCAAAAACTTTCAACAGATACAATAATCTTCAGGTACGGTGCGGTCTCATTTACATAAATAAAAAGTAACCCATCTTGTCTTGTCTCTGTACTTTCATTATTTCTTTTCCTACCTTGTTCATAAAATGTCCTTAAATTTTTTCTTAATAATTTTTAACATTGAATCAGATCAGATAGGCCCCTCCTTGTGTGTTTCATCATTTTTGTTTCCTGTATGCAACCCTTTTGCATGGTCTTCTTTTGTTTTTTGTTCTTTGTTTCTGATCAACGTGACTATTTGGTCTCGATCTCAGTACCTTAATTAAGTTTTGTTTTCTTTTAAAACTTGGAAGTCTCTTTGCTTCTGCTTTTATGTCGCCTAGAACATTGTGCTCACCAGACTGCAAAGTTCAAATGAATGGAAGTAAAAACAAATTATTAATATCAATGCTTCTCTCTGGATTCAGATGTTCCTCGTCAAAAGCCTGTGAACTCACCACAGCCTTTTCAAAGCACTGCAAACGGTAAAAAGAAAAAAAAAAAAAAAAAAAAACTTGTTATTGATTCACTTGTGTGTGATGAGATCATTTTCTGATCACATGTCTTAATGAAGTTCCAGTCCCTCACACCACAGATATATAATTAAAGTAGTGTTAAGAAAACATAGCTCGATATCAGAAAAACCTTTTGTAGAAGGGGTACGAACTTTGCGTTAGTACTAATTTGTCATCCTATTGTGCAAGACATTTATTTATTAGATAAAACGTTGGCTGGGAAACATGTTCTTATACCTTTCAAATTTCCTACTTGCTTTTTATTTTTATCTGATATATATGGCTTTCCAAATTTGCGTATGAATATGAAGGACGCCAAAGGTTCATTTTGTACCTGTCTTCAACTTGGTGATAATCACTAGATGGTTTCTATAAACAATAATTTTCTAAGGATTATGAAACTAAAAAGCCCGTGGAATTCACATACGCATCTATATATATGTTCAGCAAAACCCAAATATAGTACATGCACCATAATTTCTCTTTCTGCAAAACAATTGGTTTAAAATTCGTAGTTGTATATGAAGTAATCGGAAGCAAATTAACCTTTGATTATAAAATTCATATGCTTAATCCAAGATACAACTCGACTTCATCCTAGTGCATACTCTTTTTTGTTTCTACTTGCAAAGATATTATTATTTAAAGTAACGGCTCCTCTAGCATGTTTAAATAAACTATAACCATTTTTATGATTTAGAGTATAAAGTGTACTCTAACCCATATATGAATAAGCATGAACCACTGGTTACTGGTTAATTTGAAGAATAATTCTGAATACATTCCAATATGCATGTGTGTGAATCTGGTGCATACCCATTAATACTGTTAATTCTGTTTCACCAAGGGGAGTGTTGTATGAGTGTAATTAGTCTCATTACTTAATTTTCAGATGCATATGTGGGGACATGGATCTCAATACAGAAAGGGGCCTGATTCTCTTAAAGGAACACAACCAACAGCTATGCTAAGGCTTCCATGCTTTTGTTGTGCACCAGGTTGCAAGCACAACATTGACCATCCAAGAGCAAGGCCACTCAAGGATTTCAGAACTCTTCAAACACATTACAAGAGAAAGCATGGCATAAAACCCTACATGTGCAGAAAGTGTGGCAAAGCATTTGCAGTAAAAGGTGACTGGAGAACTCACGAGAAGAACTGTGGCAAAATATGGTATTGTTTATGTGGGTCTGATTTCAAACACAAAAGGTCCCTAAAAGACCATATCAAGGCCTTTGGCTATGGCCATGGTGCTTTTGGCATTGATTGCTTGCAAGAAGAAGATGAAGCTGCTTCTGAAGTTGAACATGATGGGGAAAGTTCAATATGAAAGTTAGAAGAAAATATAAAAGGGTGAACTCTTATATATCCAGTTTCACATACATGCCTGTAATAGACTGTGTAGTCGAATTGACCTAGTGTCTACTTTTCTTCTTTCCACTTTTAGTTTTTCATAATTATGTGGGTTGCTACCTTCATTTTAATTAGCACTGTGTACTATTTTAATTATGATCCTCCCTCATCATCCTTTTTGTTCACAGGATATCCAGTGTGCCATGCTTAAACATAGTCAATTCACCAATCTTCACAATATAAATATATAAATATGTACATTGTAACATTTTAGTGTCTAGGGTTTGTGTACAAACAATTCAAAATGAGCAAAATCACCATGGTAAAGTGAATTACTTTTTTGGTATATATTTTTTCTTTTACAATGCGTATATGATTTTATAATATAATTTTTGTGGATATCAGAGTCAAAACTCGATTGTGCTCGAAAAATATTTTATTAATATTATATGCAACACAACATCAGAGTTCTGTCGTAAGTATAGTTTGCATTTTTTTTTACAGTACAGATTGAGTCATAATTTTTCAATTATTATTATTATTATTTTTAAAATAAATTAGTTTTCATTAATTCACCTTATTGATGAGGTGGAAAATGAAGTCATGTTCAAAGTAAATGAATATAAAGTTCAGATTTTGTTGAAATATTGAAGCAATAGGTGAAAAGTGAACGAAATTGGTCTTCTTTGCCTCTGAAAAGGTTATTACATTAAAGTGTACCTGGTTTGGGTTGAGTGTTCTGATGCAACAAACCACAACAGTGTTTTATATTTTTCCCTTCATAAAGCAAAAGATTTCAGTAAGAAAGATAGCCAACTTTTATCAAAGAATCGTGTTTCAATTGACTAAGTTAATGATTCAAAATTTGACACTGAATTTTAGTCTTTCTTTCGAGTATGTTGTATTCACCATGTTTTGATTTTTTTAGATTTCTCAAGAACAATCTCATGGATTAAACAAAAAATGTCCAAAAATATGCCTTGTTTCATTGTGTAATAATATTTCTTTGACATCACATGAAAATACAATTACATAATCAAATTACATCTTGGATTTTGTTAAAGTTTCATTTCCAAATCTAAATTTAATTTCTTTGAATATCTATCTCATTCTTACTAAACATGACATATTTTAGTTTATAAATTTCACCTTCGTCACTTTCTAGCTTCTGCATAAGCATCTAATCAACATTTTCTGGGATATATGTGGACATAGTTGGCATGTCTTCATCTCCATCTAAATTAGATCTTTTTTTCCCTTTAAAAAATAAATTCACAATACTTTCACACTACAACATATTTTTAAAATTACATCGGTTATTGATCTGATAAAAGCATAAATTCAAAATTTAAAAATTAAACTATGATTCAAATTCAATTAAATTTAATATAATAATTATTTTTATTATATAATAATATAATAAATATATAATAAATTTATTAATAGTTATATTTTTTATAAAAAATAAAAATTAATTAAAATAATAATGAATATTGATATCACCGTTGTAAATATCAATTAAAGTTAAAAAAACAAAGTACAACTAAAAGTGAAAGGCTAGTATTCGTAAAAGTAAGATAAAAAATATAGTAAAATAAATATTATTTAAAATTTATATGATTTAAGTGAGATAAAAAAAGAATAAAAAAATATTTTTTAAAATTTTTAAAAACTTTGATCTTTATTTATTTTTTACCAAAACTAGTTGAAAAATAAATTCAATACTTTTTTTTCTAATTTTATATCAATTTAATTAAAATTTGGTTATTTTAATCCAATAACATTTTCAGACCTATCTCAATTGAACCCATGCATGGTCGATTTTGAAACTAATATGCATACATATATCTAATTGGTAATTCATGAATTCATAATTTGGTTGACGTTAACCAGGATATAAAATTTAAATTAAATTATAAACATAAAAAAATTAGTATTTTAAAATATAATATTCCACTCAAAATGGCTTTTCGGTGTAAGTCTTAAAAATTACAACTAGTTTTTAGTTTAACTAAGGTTATGTTATTTTATTTTTTAAAATTATCCTCTAATTTTTAGTTTCAAAATAAATAGTTTTAGATTTGTTGATAATATTAAAGTTAGTTTGTTAGGTAACATTATTATTATTATTATTATTATTATTATTATTATAAATAATAATAATAATAATAATAATAATAATAATAATAATAATAATAATAATAATGTTAGCAATAATTTTATAGTGATAATGATTATAAACAATAAAAAAAGTTTGTGATTTAAAACTAAAAATCACTTTTACAAAAACATTTTGTTGGTTTTCAAAAATGAATGGAGAAATGGAGTAAAAATTCATTTCAACTTCATTTTTACTGAATATATTTTATTTTGAAAATTGCATTTGAAAACTAACCATTTACAACTAAAATAGTTATGTGTATGTATTTTTTAAAACATAACCTAGCGATGATCCTCCTTTTTTTTTAATTTTCATATTATTTTGTTTTATTTATTTTTTTCTACTTCTCAATCCAACCTTTCTATAAATATTCTCAAAATAATAACATGGTGTACAAATCTAATATTGGAAACCTCCTCTCTTACACAGATGCAGATTGGGGTGGATGTCTGAATACCAGACGGTCTATATCTGTGTATTGTGTTTTTCTCGGTAATAACTTGATTTTTTGGTCGTCCAAATGATAACCTACATTATCTCGTTCTAGTACTGAGACTAAATATAAAGGCGTAGCTAATGTTGTTTCTGAATCTTGTTGGATTCGAAACCTTCTTTTAGAGTTTCATTATCCAATTCAGAAAGTTACATTAGTGTATTGTGACAATATGAGTGTCATTTACCTGAGGGTCAGATTCCCTCATTTTGCTCTCTAACTCCCACGTTGCATCTTCATCACCTATTCTACTCCATACGACCTTAACTAGAGGTATATCTTTTCCACGTAAGTGTTTCATCCTTTGATCCACAATACACGCAGGTGGTGCTTCATAGGTTAGATTATCCTTCAATTGTATTGTATCGAGTTCACTGATGTGAGAAGGATCAAAAATATACTTTCTGAGTTGTGAAACATGAAAAACATTATGGAGGTTTGAAAGAATTGGAGGTAAGTCTATTTGATAAGCCACAAGACCAATCTTTTTCAGAATTTGGTAAGGACCAATAAATTTTGGAGTGAGTTTTCGAGATTTCAGAGCTCTTCCAACTCCAGTAGTAGGTGTAACTCTCAGGAATACATGGTCACCCTCTTCAAATTCCAACGACTTTCTCCTCTTGTCATAATAACTCTTTTGCCTACTCTGTGTTGTCCTCATCTTTTCTTGAATGATCTTCACTTTATCAGTAGTTTGTTACACAATTTCTGGTCCCAAAATAAGATTCTCTCCCGAGTCATACCAGCATAAAGGTGTCCTACACTTCCTTCCATAAAGAGCTTCATATGGTGCCATCCCAATACTTGTATGAAAACTGTTATTGTAGGTGAATTCAATCAAATGCAGAGACTTGTCCCAAGTATCCTTGAATTCCATAATGCAAGCTCGTAGAAGGTCTTCAAGAGATTGAATTGTTCTTTCTGACTGTCCATCCGTCTGCGGATGATAAGCTGAACTCAATCGAAGCTTTGTTCCTAATGCTTGTTGCAAACTTCCCCAAAACTTGGAAGTAAAACGTGGATCTCTATCAGATACAATACTTGAAGGTACGCCGTGTAACCTCACTATTTCCTTAAGATATACTTGTGTCAATTTTTCCAATGAATAACGAATGTTGATAGGTAGAAAATGTGCTGACTTGGTCAATCTGTCAATAATTACCCAAATTGCATCATATCTTGTAGGAGTTCTTGGCAATCCAGTTACTGAAATCCATTGCTATGCTTGTCCCATTTCCATTCGGGATATCCAAAGATTGTAACATTCCCGTGGGCCTTTGATGTTCAACCTTTACTTTCCGACATACCAAACAAGATGCTACGTACTCGCCACTCGATATTTTCATTCCTGACCACCAAAATAACTTCTTCAAATCTTGGTACATCTTGGTAGTTCCTGGGTGAATACTCAACTTACTCTTATGGGCTTCCTCTAAAATCATCTTCTTGATTTCATCATCTTGCGGAATACAAATTCGATCTCTGAATCTCAAAATTCCACCTATGTCTTCCTGAAAATCGTTTTCTTTTCCTTGAGATACCAAAGTCTTCTTGCCTTGCAAAAATTTATCTGTTAATTGTGCTGCCTTAACTTGTTCAAGAAAATTGCTAGTTATCTTCAAAGTTCCAAACTTAAAACTTTTGGGAGTTATCTCCATAGCTAAATTCAAATCTCTCAATTTTTCCACCAAGTCCAATTCTTTGACCATCATTGTTGACATATACAAAGACTTTCGGCTTAAAGCATCTACCACTACATTGGCTTTCCTGGGGTGATAATGAAGTTCAAAGTCATAGTCCTTCAAAAATTCTGTCCACCGATGTTGCCTCATGTTCAACTCTTTTTGATCAAACAAATACTTAAGACTCTTATGATCACTGAAAACTTCAAATCTTGCACCGTATAGATAGTGTCTCCAAATCTTCAATGCAAACACCACAGCTGCCAACTCGAGATCATGTGTAGGGTAATTTACTTCATGCGGTCTCAACTGCCTTGAAGCATATGCCACTACATTTCTATTCTGCATTAATACACAGCCTAACCCTTGCTTCGATGCATCACAATACACTTCAAAATTCTCATGAGGGTTTGGAAGTATCAATACCTGGAGCAGAAGTCAATTTATCTTTCAACTTTTGAAAATTCTCCTCACACTGACTCGTCCATACAAAGGGTTGTCCTTTACGAGTCAACTTGGTCAAAGGTAAGGCTATCTTTGAGAATCCCTCAATGAATCTCCTATAATAACCAGCTAGACCCAAAAAGTTACGAATCTCAGTAATACTCTTTGGTCTTTCCCATTGCAATACAGTTTCGATT